TTAAGGCAAGGCATGTGACTGAAGATTGGGGACAGGCAGTGGAGTCTGTGCTTGTAATAAGCTAAGAATTTCCAAATGGAGTAACACTATATAATATATTTCTTATCATATCTATGTGAGATGGATTTTTTATTATCACTGTGATTTTAGGCAATACACTCAAGCAAGCGATAAACTTGAGTTCCTTTCAAACTCTACTGTCAACTGTGATAGTGAGTTACTCTTATAATGAAATGACAAGTTAACATTCGCTGAGTACTTGGCTTGTGCCAGGCGTTATTTAGCATTTTATGTATTAACAAATTTAAGCTCCAAGACAAATACACTAAATAATATTATTTTCCTTATTTTATTTTTATTTTTAAAGATTTATTTATTTATTTGAAAGTCAGAGTTACACAGATAGAGGAGAGGTAGAGAGAGAGAGAGAGAGAGAGAGGTCTTGCATCTGCTGGTTCACTCCCCAATTGGCTGTAATGGCTGGAGCTGTGCTGATCTGAAGCCAGGAGCCAGGAGCTACCTCCAGGTCTCCAATATGGGTGCAGGGGCCCAAGGTCTTAGGTCATCCTCCACTGCTTTCCTAGGCCATAGCAGAGAGCTGTATTGAAAGTGGAGCAGCCAGGTCTTGAACCCGCGCCCATTTGGGATGCCAGCACTTTAGGCCAGGGCTTTAACCCACTGTGCCACAGTGCTGGCTTCTGTTTTTCTCATTTTAAAATGTAAGAAACTGGGGCCTACATTTTGGCATAGTGGTAAATTTGCCACCTGTGACCCCGGCATTCCAAATGGGAGCCTGTTCAAGACTCAGCTGCTCCATTTCTAATCCAGCTCCCTGCTAGTGTGCCTGGAATAGCAGTAGAAGATGGCCCAAGTTCTTGGGCCCCTGCACCCACATGGGAGACCTGGAAGAAGCTCCTGGCTCCTGGCTTCAGTCTGGTCCAGCCCTGCCATTACAGCCACTGGGGAGTGAACCAGTGGATGGAAGAATCTCTCTCTCTCTCTCTCTCTCTAATTTAACCTTTAAAATAAGTAAAAAGAAATCTTAAAAAAAATAAAATGGAAGAAATTGAAGTACAGATCAGTTAATCTTCCCCCTACTAACTCACACAGTCTACCAGGGGAAGCCATATTTCTAGCCATTTACTCTTCAGCTTCCTTTGGAATCTAGCTGAAGATGTATTTAAGAGTATATATTACCTCACTCTAAATATTTAAATTGACAAAAAAGAAATTCAAGAAAAATGGGAATATGAAAAGTATAATTCTAAAGTAAAAATGTGTTATGTATGCATTTGGAATTTTTAAAAACATGCCCTTTGAAACAATGTAAAATTGCCAACTGTCCTTTTTGAAAACAAAGTTTCCTTTACTCTGAGCTCATGTCCTTCCTTTATTTTTATGTTAAATTTTTTTTTCTTTTGTGAATCTATCACTATAGCAGATAGTATTGATTTTTAATGCCTTCCTTTGCAGAATGAAATTATATGCTTATACGCTTAACTTACTGTGCCACGGCACCAGCCCGTTTTCACAAATCTTGAAGTGACAAAATGATAGAGCTGGAGAAGAAATGAGTGCTCTCAAGGGTTAGGAGTGGCCGGAGGTAGAAGAGGAATGTGATGATAAAGGGGTAGCACACAAGACATCTTAATGGCAAAAGTCTGGTTCTTGGTTGTGAAGGTTAAGCAGAATGAACACAAGGAGGAAAGCTGTGGGCATAGAGACGGTCCCTGGTGAGTAGCCTGTCCTGCCCACACAGAGCTTATCTCATAGGTCAGGAAGTGTCAACAACTATTTACACTGCTAGAGAGTTTTATCTGTGATCACAAAGGGTCAGGAAGGAGAACTGTGGGTGCCCTGCAAATAGACAGTGGCAGGTGAATTTAGTCTTGCCTGGGGCGTCAAGAAATCCTAGAGCTGACCCAAGATGGAAAGGAGAAGGAGCTGACCAGCAACAGGTGTGTAACGCGGGGAGCAGGGGCAGGGAAGGGGTGGGAAGAGGGAAGTCCTGCAGCCCGGTGGGTGGCTGCGCATTAGCCTCTGCTCTTGCCAAAAGCTCACTTCTAGTCCAAGGTAAGAAAATACATAAAGAACAACAAAGAAACCACAGAATGCTGTGTTCATCTCTAAGATCGAATCCCCCACTTCTGACTCTCCCTTTCAATTTCTCAACAGAAACACATTTCAAAATTTTTCCCATCATCAAACTCATTACATTAAAATAAAAAAAAAAATTGACAAAGGTATGATCAAGCCAAAAGAAGTTTCTGTTTGTTCCTTTTATTACATGATCCTTGACTGATCTTGGGAACAGTGCTCCATTACAGGAGGAAGGTGATAATTTCATTTAGAACAGAATTGGATGCATAGATAATATCCTTCATAGAAATTTAATTTTGAAGAGATGAGTAATTTCCCAAAACATCTACAACCTTATTCTATTTGTTCTATGCTTCCGTGGAAGCATTGTAAGCCTCAAGAGGATGAAATTTGAAAAATAATGTCTTCAGTACACTATATTTCTTGATTTTTAACCCTTCTTTCAAAGACAGAATTACTGCACGTTTCCTCTTTTATCTGCTTTTTAATTTACAAATGAAGTTCAAGGTTACTGACTTCCTTCTCTCCTTGCTAGCATTGCTTACCAACTAGACCCTTTTGCAAGCACTTCATCCACAGAATGAAGAGGATCAGCATCCAATATGCACAACTTCAAATTGAAGTTAAAACCCTCACTATTTTCCTTACTGTAAAGGCAGTAAAGGGGGCCCAGCTCTCTCCACTGACATTTTAGAAGCAAATACAGGAGTCCCATGAGATTAGATATATTAGTGCATATGAATTTCCTTTAGATTTAAACAGTGTGTCCTGAACCAAAAAGAGACCATGTGCTTTGACAACAAGACACTTGTTTTAATCAAGACTATGACAGAGTTTTAGCAAAGAGGCTTGCCATACCCAAGGCATTTGACTTGCTGCTTTACTCAACATGGCCCCAATACACTCTGCAGTCCCCATCCCTACCTTTGTCAGGTTACTTATCACCTCTATGCTGTAATCGAGAGAAATTTTACCAAGATTAGGTCTACACTGGGAGCTAGCATTGCAGTGCAGTGGGTTAACTTCCCCCTGTGATGTCAGCATCCTATTTCTGAGTTCCTGTTTGAGTCCCCACTGCTCCACTTCCCATGCAGCTCCCTACTAATGCATGTGAGAAAGCGGAGGAAGCTGACCCAAGTGCTGAAGCTCCTGCACCCACAAGGGAAACCTAGATGGCATTTCAGGCTCCTGGCTTCAACCTGCTCCAGCCCGGATATTGCAACCATTGTGGGGTGAACTAGTAAATGGAAGAACACACTCTCTCTTCCTTTCCCTCTCCTTTTGTCTCTGCCTCTCTCTAACTTTGCCTTTCAAATATGTGAGTAAATCTTTAAATTAAAAAAAAAAAAAGATTAGGTTCATAAGGTTCCAGGAGGCAGTGGGTTGTTTTTTCCCTGATGTTGAGGTTTTGAAAAGCCACTAGGCTCTTCTCTCTTGTTCCCCTAAGCTCAGCACATTGTGGACAAACCCACATATGTCACCACTGCCATAAGGTTTAGAAGACCAAAGAAGAGCACAAGTGTCCGGCAAGTGTAAAATGTCATCTAAAATATGATTAATGATGCCACTGCTCCTGGGTGAGGTCTACTCAATGACACTTGGAAGATAGAAAGAAGCCACTGTGAATTCATCAACCTCCGTTGCCTAGGAAATCAATAAGACCCCTCAATGACATATGATGTCATGTCTTCCAATTCCAGATGAGCCTGTCCCTCCTGGAGATGATAACATTTACCAAACTGCACACAGTAGATTTCAAAGGGAAAAATCAAACACAGCAAGACTTTCCATGTAGTTTCTATTTATGCTACTTGAAGAATCTTTTTTTATGTGAGTTTAAAATTGCATAAATTATGCCATCATTTCTGCGTTTATCTGATCTTATTTTTATTGTGTCTATATCTGAAGAATTTATCAACTGGTTCCAAATTTAGAGACATGGAAGACTGATTTAATTGTTTTTCTTAAAATGTGGTGTAGGTATACAGTACTTTTGTGATCATTAGGAAAGTAGTTTCTTTTATTCTCAGACCCTCTTGAGACCCACGCACTTTTTTCTCCTTCTCGTTCTAATTATAATCACTGGTACATAGCGTAAGTTAATGAGGTGCATTTTCAGCACAGCCTCTCAGCAAGCTGACTTCTTTAAACGTTCTGAGGGTGCAGTATTGAGACTTTTTAATGACCAGGTTGGATAATTCTCTAAGCTAAAATCACAAAGTCAGAGGGGCCTTCAAAAAGCTCCTAGAAAAGAAGTATGGAAAAATCTCCATGGACTTCAACAATTCTTTTCGCACCAAAATAAATTTATATTTTCAGTCCTTTTTCTGCAAAGTTCTTGAAGAAATCTTGCATTAGGTAGAGAAGATTGGGACCACAGCTGCCTGCCACTCTCTGTGTGGATACAGATTCAGAATGACTCTTAGGGAGAACTCTTGGTTCTGCCTGCAGAAATTCGCTGCAGAAGTTGGTGGACTTTTAATCAAGCAAATAGTTTTGGAACATCACCTGAATATCTTCCATTTCAGTACAGGAAGACCAAAGCCAGCAGTGTGAGTTAAAATTCTGCTGTCACTGCTTCCTAACTGTACAACCTTGGGCCATTTACTTAAGATCTCTTAGCCTCAGGACTCTTGCCTAGAAAAATTAGTATTATAATAATTTGCACTTAAAAGATTGTTAGGAAGAGAGCATGAGTTCATATGTGTATATATATATATATATATATACAGAGCTCAAACACATATATGCGCAGTAATGTCAGGTATTATTATTTAATTTTGTTCTTAATTTTTTTAAATTTTTACTTTTATCAAAATACTTAATTTATAAAAATTGAAATAGTTCATTGAAGTTTTTAATGTTTTACCTAACTTTTCACCTCACTTGGGATAGGCTATCACATTCAACTCTTTTTTATTAGTTACTTTCATAAATTCATTTTCTGAATATTTTTCCAGTTTTTAAAACAATGGCTTAGCTTTCAAATTCACATAATAAGGATTTATCTGTCATGTTCTCTGTATCACCTAGATGTTAAATTAACACCCATCTGTTTTATTAATGACTAAATGTATACACACATATTACATATTTTCATAGCCGAGCTAATAAAATACACACGTGTGTGTATTTGTATGTCATCTTGTATTTTATAGGTATATTTCATATTTTTGTTTTACTTTTTCTCTTGAAGTTTTTAATTGATACTTTTAAAATTTACTTATTTTTAAATATAAGTATCATTAACTGAGCCCACACTGTCCAACAAATAAAAAGCTCCCCTTGAAGGAATCAAATATCTACTCGCTTTACCATTATTTTTCCGAGCAGACATCCCTCCAGTGTAGACTGAGCCCTCTCCAGGGTTTCTGAAGTCTTCTCTCGTCGTCATCCTGAGAATTCCCTTCAGCTCTGTGCTGGGTCTCCTTTTCCTGATCTCAAGCCATCCCTTCTCTTTGTTTTCTTTTCCTTCCTCATTTTGTTGAAACATGGCCTTCAGTAGCTGGAGAAGAAGTGGTGCAAAACTACTTTACTTTTTGTGAACCTGTATGTACAAAAATATCTACTACACTCTTCTTGACTTCAGAGATTTAGTAAGTAGAATTCTAAGTAGGAAACCATTTTCTCTTCAAATTTGGAAGACACTTCTGCAGTTTAGTGTAGTTATACTGCAATGTTGTTAGGGAGAAATCTGAAGCTTTTTTGACTCCCATCATTTGGTTTTGATCTATCTTTTCTCTCTGAAAGCTTTTTAATATATTAACTTTGTCTCTGATATTTTGACACCTTACAATAAAATGACTTAGTTTTCTGAATTTTAAAATTACTTTTCAGGCCTTCAGATGAAGTCTTTCATTCTAGATGCTCTTGTTCTTTCAGATTTTGGGAATATTTTAGTAGTGTTTCCTTGGTAATTGTTCTAAATTTTTATTCTATTTGAAAGGCAGAGACATACAGAGAGAAGTAGAGACAGGAAGACAGATGGAGAGAGAGATCTTCCATCCAATGCTTCACTCCCCAGGTTTCCTCAACTGCTAGGGCTGGACCAGGCTGGGAGCCCAGAACTCTCTCTACATCTCCCATATGGGTGGCAAATAGTCGAGGCACCATCCACTGCCTCCCAGGCTGTACCTTAGCAGAAAGTTGGTTCCGGAGTAGAGTAGTCAGGACTTGAACCAGCTGGTTCTGGTAGAACATGATGGTGAAGAGCCATGGTCTCTGGGAATGGAAAGCATATACTGAGGGAGAGAGGAAGATGCCTGAGGCAACCTATTTTGAAGATTTATTTTGCTCAAAATTCTAGAGGTTCAAGGGCTTGGCACTGGCATTAGTCCCACTTTGGTAAAGACATCAAGGTGGATGGTATCTTGATGGTGAGAACAAGGAATCACATCACCAGACAGGAATCCAAGAGCCCAGGAAATGGCAAGGCTTGTTCTTTTAGTAACAACACTTACTAGAGAACTGACACAAAAATCCCATGAGAACAATGTCGGTCCCTTTCAAGGGCAGTGTCCCCAGTGACCTAAGGACTTCTCACAGGCCCACCCCTGAAGCTCTTATCACTTCCCATGTCACCAACACATGAACTTTTGAGGGACAAGTCACACCCAAACTGTACATCATGGCCTTCTCTGTTACAACAAGGATTATCAGAGTATGATGTGAGGCAAATATAGACAAATACACACAATCTATGCAACCATCAGGAAGGTGAGGTTTTAACAACGAGTAAGAAAGTAACATGTTAGAAAGGAGGTAGGGCTGGCCGGCGCCGAGGCTCAATCAGCTGATCCTCTGCCTGCGGGACCAACACCCCAGGTTCTAGTCCCGGTAGGGGCGCCAGATTCTGTTCCTGTTGCCCCTCTTCTAGTCCAGCTCTCTGCTGTGGCCCGGGAGTGCAGTGGAGGATGGCCCAAGTCCTTGGGTCCTGCACCCGCATGGGAGACCAGGGGAAGCACCTGGCTCCTGGCTTCAGATCAGCGCGGTGCACCGGCCACAGCAGCCATTGGAGGGTTAACCAACAGAAAGGAAGACCTTTCTCCCTGTCTCTCCCTGTCTCTCTCTGTCTCTCTCACTGTCCACTCTGCCTGTATAAAAAATAAAAAAAAAAAAAGAGGTAGGGATCTGCAAAGAGCATTTGGAAACTTGATGTTTTGAAATGTTCATGATAATACTATTATATGAATATGTTCACAGTGAACAATGTGCAGGTTTTTAAAACTCTTGGCTAAATAATTTTAGGGATGTTCCAAGTGAAGAATTTAAGTAGATTTTTGAACCCATTTGTGAAAAATATAGAAATACCTTACCTCCTAATTAGCTTGCAATGGAATTAAAGAAAAATGGAAGTTTGCTAGCTGGTTTATAACAAATATCTTGGATTGATTAATGGGCGAGATTGAAAAAGGATATAACAGTATTCATTTCTTAGCAGTTAATTTATTAAAATGACATACGTATGAGGGAGTCTTCAGAAAGTTCAGGGAAAGTACACATTATAAAAAAATTCTCCATGGATTTCAAAACTTTTACACTCACAAGATAATTAACTTAATCTTTTAATTCAGTTTTTCCATAAACTTTTTGAAGCACTGGAGTGCATGTTCAAATTCTGTGCTTACAATATTTGTTTGTTAGGAATGTTAGTGAAAAAACAAAGACTATGAGTTTAAAATCAAAGATTTGAAGTAGAATGATCTAAATTTGAATCTCAGTTTTGTTATTTATTAGCAAGATGAACGTGGGAACATTTGCATCCAATTTTCTAATTCCTCAACTTCGAAAATATTCAAGGCCTGCAAGAAATAGGGAGATGTTGACCAAAGGGTACAACTTTGAGTCATAAGTTAAGTAGGTTCTGGAGCCATCACATCCAGAATGAAGATAGTATATAATATTATATTGTATGTTGAAATTTGCTAAAAATAAGTCTTAAGTGTTCTCACCACATTACACTTACAAGGTAACTCTGTGAGGTATTGGATATGTTAATTCAGTTCACTGTCATTTCTCTATGTGCTCATACATTAAAATATCACATTGTACAGCTTACATACATCCAATTTTTGTCAATTATATCTCAATACAACTAAGAAAAAATTACTCAGACATAAAAATAACATAGAGTATATTCAAAGTGTTTAATCAAAAGCCTAGACAACAGTAACTTTCAATAACTTTTGTCTATCAGTAATTATGAAATGATGCTGATAGTGATAATGATGTAGCCTGCAGACCTGCCCTTATGTGATGAAAGAGAATATTTACAGATTCCTGGTCCTTTTCAAAGCTAGTGTGCTAGCTAACTGATGACTCACTTCTAGCAAAAGCTGAGCTATATTAAATAGTGTTTGCATTGGGTCCTCTAAAAATGATGGCAAATATATGGAAGGAATCCCATCTTTCTCTCCTGTACCCATGCGAGTAACTGTTCTTCTGTCTTGAGAATGGAAGCCTTGATAAATTCTCAATTCCAATTGTATCCAGGGAGTCACTACTGTGGTGGGCAGAAGAGTTGGGACCTGGTTGCCAACTCCGGCTCAGGGAGTATTCAGCTCCTCCTTTGTTCTTGGATTGTTCCCTTTTGTCCACAGGCTGTGGCTTTGGCCACTTCATTGAACCCCTCATAGTATGATTTTAAGGACAAGTAATGCTGATTTGTGTGTTACCAGGAAGCTCAGATACTAACATAGTTTGTGCTGTACAAGGACCCTTTCATGTGTATTTTCGTTGTGCTGATGAGAAGTGGGAGCACTGTAGAGCAAAGGCAGGAATTTATAACAACAGCTGGAGAATAGAAGTGGACACTTGACCTCCACGTCAGGGAACAACCTTCCAGACCCAGGGCCTTGTGCTCTGTGAACGAGAATGTGAGAAGACTGGACTAGCGGGCAGTGACCCCTCATCTGCTCATTTCCCTTAAGATCATTTGCCTTATCAAATGAAACAGATACAGTAAGTAAGTAATATTTCACTTAGTATAGGAGTCTATCTTTAACAATCCAGTTGTGCAACTCTTCTTAGAAGAGTTTATCTCGATGGACATTGTGGTATGATCAGGGATTCCAAGAGCGTTGTAGAAAATAGGGTGTCTGGAAGGGGTCTGAGGGCCGGGGAAAGAGGACAGAACAGGGAGGTTAGGGGCCCATGTGTCTGGGCTCCTGCAGCAGCTCCTGTGCATCATCTCCCACAGGTGCTTGCCCTCTGTTCCTTAGAGGCTTCAGGAACACCCTCTGTCATTTGAATGCACTTGAGATGCCAGTGTCTTGCCTAATCCTTCATTTGCTATTCACATTGGGAGTTCTTAGCTCATCAAAGCCTGCAACTAACTTCAAATGAAAGAAAAGAAAGTCTACAGAGTACAGCTGATCATATCACTAAACTTACCAAATGTGTTTACAGAACTGTCAACCAGCATAACTTGGTCAGTTTTTCTGGTTTGTGGTTAAAGGCAGAACTCAGCCTTGGAATAGGACTGCATAGGATCAATTTGAAAAGCCTCTTTCTTTAAACATGTGAACAACTTCTATGGAAAGCCCCAACCCACAAGCTAAAAAAATCACAGTTTTATTTGTAATAGATTCATCAAAACTCTCTTTTAAATTTGAAAGACCTTGTATATAGCATTTTCTCCATGCAAGTAGCCATTTGTGTGTAATCATGGAGAATTAGCATTAATGGCCCTCTGAGGGTTCTTGACTGATATCCAGATCCTCGGGGATTTTTTTTTATTTGAAAGAGTTACAGAAATAGAGGGACAGACAGATAAAGAGAGAGATCTTCCTTCTGCTGGTTCACTCTTCAAATGGCAACAATGACCAGGACTGGGCCAGGCTGAAGCTAGGTTGTAGGAGCTTCATGTGGGTCTTCCCCTTGGGTGGCAGGGCCCAAGCACTTGGACCATCTTCTGCTGCTTTCCCAGGCCATTATCAGGGAGCTGGATGGGAAGAGGAGCAGCCAGGACAAGAATGGGTCCCATATGTGATGCTGGTGTCTTAAGTGGTGGCTAACCTGCTGTAGCACAATATCAGCCCCCAAAATCCTCATAAAAAAAGTGAAGCCTAGACCATCTAATGATGTATCCATGATCATATGGATCAGTGTGGGCAGAGTCAAGACTAGAGCCGGGTTTTTGAAACCTAATCCAGCTTTATTGTCAACAACTTAAGGTTTCCTGAACGCCGTGCTCCTGGGCCTGATGGAGTTCATCTGCACTAGGGATTCTGCATCTGTTCTCAGCTAATTCCTGGGGAACGATTAATGGTTCCGCTAGAAACCATGGTCCCTAATTGTACCTCTCAGGAAGCACAGATGACTCAGCCATCCAACCTGCTGCATGCTGAAATGAATCAGAGTGAAGCACTTTGAGCATTTTCATTGTGTGAAAAGACTGTCAGTTGCCTGGATACCAGAGTGAAAAATATAAAGTAATTGTGCTTCTGTATGGCCACAGAGGAAGGATATTTAATTGTCACCAGGAAGCCTGAGAAGAGGAGTCAAAGGCCAAGCCCCCAACAGATGTGAAACATTGGTTAAATTCAGTGGATTTGTCTTGCCACAGTATTGGCACCTGTTCTGCCAGGCAGAAATCAGCCAGTGAGAAGAGAGGAGGAGTAACGGTGAGAAGATAGATAAGGTTTTGTGAACTCTTACTCTGTTACTCTGGGCTGGGTAGATGGCTAAGTGCACAATCTTTGCAACTTTACCAGAACACTTTGAGGGATGCACTTTCATTACCCCCGTTCTACACATGAGAAAACTGAAGAAGCTAAGTGTTATCCAGGGAAGCAGACCTCATAAGAATGCATGCAGTGAGAAGGTATACTAGAGTTGACTGGACTGGAGAGCACAAGCTCTTACCAGCAACACTATTCAGCTTCTCTGTGAATGCCATAGAGTGTGGTATCAATAAATCCTCTTGTAGAAACCCTGTCTGCCTTCTGAACTGGCAGAGAATGGGGTATGTCCTCACCCAGAACAGCAATCTATTTTGTTACTTCTTGACTTTTATTGGCAAAGCATGCTCAGCCCATGGGAATGTAAGAAGCTTCTCTTCATTCCACAATGCAATCAAGTATTACGATAGAGAGAGAGGTTGAATAACTGTAAAAATACACCCTGGAAGTTAAACAACTAGGTTGTAGCCCAGGCCCATGTCACTTTGGAAAAGGCAGTTCCAGCTGGAAGATTTTTGAATAGGTGATTTCTGAGATCTTCTAGCTCAAACACAAACCAAAACTCCAGGCTGTGGAGACAGCTCATCTTGGTTGAGTTCCAGTATTTGCATGTCTTGTGCAAATTCCATTACATTAATCTCCATATTCCTCAGATATTACATTCATAAAAAATTTGTGAAAAAATTATAAAAATGATCTACCCCTCTTACAGAGTCACTGGGAAAATTTAACAAAGCTGCGTGTGTACAATGCATCATGCAATACCAGCCACACAGTAGATGTCTAATAAAGATTAGCCATCATCATCACCATAATGGAGTCATGAAATAAAAATAGTCAAGAAGGGCTGGCACTGTGGCATAGCAGGTAAAGCCACCACCTGCTGTGCCAGCATCCCATATGGGTACTGATTCAGTTCCCGGAAGCTCCACTTCTGATCCAGCTCTCTGCTATAGCCTGGAAAAGCAGTGGAAGATGGCCCAAGTCTTTGGGCCCCTGCACCCACATGGGAGACCTGGAGAAAGCTCCTGGCTCCTGGCTTTGGATCAGCCAAGCTCCGGCCATTGCTGCCATCAGGGAAGTGAACCATCGGATGGAAGACCTCTCTCTCCCTCTCTCTGCCTCTCTTTCTCTGTGCAACTCTGAGCTTCAAATATATAAATAAATCTTTTAAAAAAGTCAAGAACTTGATACTAAGAATATATCTAAAATATATCTTTTAATCAAATACTGACATACACATTTTTCCATGGGACAGACAGAGCCACATATTGAGGTACAGAAGTTCCTGGAGTGAGGGTTTGTGATCAGTGTTTCTGAGAGAAGGGGATGGTTTGGTGGGAGGAAGATGGCAGCAGACCAGAGAAGGATATCACAGTTGAAATCTTGGGAATAGGATGGTGGGATTTCCTGGAAGGGTGGGTAAGCCCATGCCTGCTTATTGATGGCAGTGCATTTATTGTAATGAAGTGTTGTTGGTGCTTGACAGCTCACTTGTTAAGACTGATCGCTGATCTTTGTTGGGGAAGCTGCTCGTCTGTGATGAAGTCAGCTAGGAGGTCACCCTCTGAATTGCCTTTAAACACTTTCTGATGTCCTGAGAAAGGAGGCTTTTCTTGACAGTCTCAGATTACCAACAACAGAAGACTGGAAGAATGTAAAGGTGCCTGCTCATCCCTGGTAAATAGCACACACCCCCACCATGCACTCACAAGGTCAGCAGCCTTGGAAAATCCATGAGTGTGTAACCACATCCCCTGCCAGCAAGGAGGCAGGGTTGAGACAGAGTCAGGAGGGACTGTGGGGAGCAACTGGGAGCAACCCGGACTGGACTAAGTTACTGGAATTAAGACTTATTCTATGCATCTGCTCTCCCACAATATGGCGTTGGGAGAGAAGAAAACAGCTTAAGAAAACAGCTTCTACGCAGCTGCCTCTTGCCAACTTGAGTGATGACCTCCAGGAGCTGATCCTGCTCCTGATTGGAGGAGAGCAGCGTACTCGGCGTGTGGGCAGCCAAGTTGGGATTGGCGGAGGAGGACTATAAAGGAGGAGAGAGACGGCATGCACCAGGAACATCTAAGGGGAACATCTAAGAGGAACACCTGTGCAGCCCCCGAGAGAGCCGGCCGGCGGTGTGCCGCTCCCCCGCGGAAGTGGGGAATGTGGCAGGGGGAACCGCCCTTCCACGGAGGTGGAAGGGACAATAGCCAACCCGGGAAGAACCAGCAGCAAACCCGGGGAGGGCCGAGCAGACGAAAGAACAGCGCAGGGTCCTGTGTCATTCCTCCACGAAGAAGGGGAGCGACAAGGGACCTGCTCCTGCTGCTAAATGAACAACCTCTTGGTAAACCCTCAATTTCTAGCACATTTTCTAGAATTTCTTGTGGGACACTTTAAGGATAGGATAACCTAAGACAAAACAAAAGCAAATAAAGTTGTTTTTAATCTTTGTTCTCTTCTGAATGCTTGGAAGTTATCAGTTGAATTAAATAGAATTGTTTTCACCTGTGGGCATTTTATTGCCATCTTTGAAGCATTTTAGCACATACATAATTTTATAATTCATTTATATAAAATATAACATGGATTATGTATATGAAATATATATAGGGAATACATATGAAATGTATACACACAGACACACACATATATATACACATGTATGTATACATACATATGTGTGTATATATATATATATTCCTTAGTGCTTAGCCCATCAAGTGTGTATTTGGAAGTGTTGTCAATTCAGCTGATGGAAGGTCAGACATCCTCAGAGGAAGACAAGGCCTTAGGGGAGTTTGAAGTTTTCCGGGTACCTTCACACTGGTTGTCCAAAACTTCCCTCTCTCCAGTGTGCTACCACAGGCAGGCATCACCCATGTGTGAACATCTTAGTCCCCTGAATTATTTTCACCTCTACATGGGCTGCATCTGAGGGTAACCCACCCACAAGGATTACTAATTAACCATCACAGGGGATTCCAAGGGGCTAGGCTCACTCAGACTGTGCTGAGTGGCTGCCATCTTATACTCTCTCGGCAAGTAGGTAGTCAATGGTATCCCCTTTTAAAAGGTGAAGAAGCCAGAGTTGAATTTGGTTAAAAGACTCATTGAAAACCAGATGGCTGGTAACTGGGGAATGAATGGGGTTTGACTTTCTGAGCCCCACTGCCTTCCTGGGGTCATGGCTCTGCTTTTCCTAGCCCTAATTGTTCCCTAATCTTTTGGGGCCTTGATATTTTTAAATTTGTTCCAGTGAAGTTTAGAGGCTGTACTTTTTAAAATATAGACTTACAAGATGTGAAGTAAAACACTAGACAATGTATAGAGCAAGACCAGCACTTAGATTCAGTTACTTAGCTTCTGGGAAAACCCACCTGCTCATACAAAGAAACAGATCATGTATTTCTTAATTCTGTATTTTGACTACTGAGGGAAATGTAGTTCTATCATGTATAAAGCTGGTTTCCCATGCCATGTTTGTTTTGCATTTCATTGCTTTGTCATGAATGTTAAATATAGCAACATGTGATTATAATTAATATATTTATTCTTCCTCCTCCTGTTATTATAATTAATATACTTATTTGTCCCCCTTTAGACTGTAAACTCCTTTGGGATCAGAATCATGTCTGACATTTTTTCTCATCATCAACATTTAACAAGTATCATATAGAATAGATAAAAAACATTTGCTTGTTGAAATGTGAATTAACTGGTATGAGTAGAATGTAGAGATACTATGCCCAACTGGAATAGTGATTTCCTACTTAGGGAAGGATTTTCCCCTGGAAAATATGCACGATTATGGAACATCCCTGTCATAAGGACTTTCTGCAACAATGGAGATGTCCTATCTGTACTGTCCAACTTGGTAGATGCTAGTCATGTGTGGCTACTGAGCACTGAGAGTATGGCTAGTTCATTGAGAAACTGAGTCTTAAGTTTTATTTAATATTAATTAATTTAAATACATACATGTGGCTCATGGCTAGTATATAAGTTATGGAGGAAGGATTTAAAGAAACATCTAAAATGTGCTGATAGTGGGAAATAGTGTTTTGGTTGGTGTGCCCTTAAAAAATCATTTTGAAACTTACGAATGATGAGTAATTTAACAAACACCTAGCAACTATTGACTGGATGATGATTGCTTCCTTTGTAGAGTAGGACCCTTGATACTACTAATTTGTAAGATTATTGATGGAGTTAAAAGAGTAATTATGCAAAGTCCTTTAGCCTAGTGCTTATTAAGGATGACAGCTGTCAGTCTTCTCATTGTTCTATTGTTGCTTCATAGTGAGCATTGGAGATGTGGACAGGACTGACAGTTTTTGGCCTCAAGTCCGGGGAGTGAGGACAGACAAGACACATGGTACCCAGGGCACCCATTCTGTCCCAGCTGTGTTGCTGACACAAGTTGGGGTAAGCCCGCTTTTCTCACCCTTAGTTCTATTGCCAACTGGATAGTTTTAGCACTGTTTCTGGGTGGTTGTTCATGGCAGAGATTCTGAGCTCTCTGACTCCTTCTTGGACTTCTTTTTCTTTTTTTTAATCTTTATTTATTTATTTGAGATGCAGAGTTACAGAGAGGGAGAGACAGAGGTCTTCCATCCACTGGCTCATTCTCCAGTTGGCTGCAAAGGCCAAAGGAGAATCGATCCAAAGTCAGGAACCAAGAGTTTCCTCCAGGTCTCCCATGTGTGTGCAGGGGCCCAATGACATGGGCCATCTCTGCCTTCCCATGCAATAAGCAGAGAGCTGGATTGGAAGAGGAACCAGCACCCATATGGGATGCCAGTGCCACAGGCAGAAGCTTAACCCACTACACCACAGCACCGGCCCCTCTTGGCCTTTTTTTACAGGGGCTTCAGGACTTGTCTCCCTGTATCCAGTCTGTGAACTGTGTTCCCTCCATTCCTTCAGCAGATTACAAGAGCATTTTCCCCAAAGCAGCTGTGGCCATATTTCTTTCCAGCTTTCCATCTTCTAGGGGCTCCTTTATTCTGTAATGGCAAATTCTAGATACCTTCCATTGACCATCTAGGCTTGTCTATGCTATCCCATGTTTGGACTCTGCTCCTCCTGTCTGCTTGCTGTTATTTCAGAACAGCTCAGCTTCCCTACATTTCTATTTTGCTTGTGCTGCTTCCCATCTGCATTCCCTTCATTTGTCCGTTTCCACCCTGCTCAGGCAGCCCATCTCCCATCTCTCCTGTCTGCTAGGGTCTATCCCTAGACACCAGTCAAAGGCTGCCTCTGCCTGCTCTTCACCACAGTCCTTGCCTCTTATTTGTATCAGTGTTCCCTGAGGGTGTATTTATTTGCATATATTTCATCTTCAGACTTTAAAATCCATGACGACAGGGATGGTATCTTTATATCTTTTGTGTCCCTCACAGCATCACTGTATCAAACCCAGCAGATGTTAAAGATTTATTAAAATGGGTTAAATGAAAGAAAATCTTTCAATATTTAGAATATGATTCTTTTAAAGCTGGTCCTTTAATAATGAAAATGACCCCTAAAAATTCATTTTGTATTAGTTTCCTAGCAAAGTCTATAAAAATCACAAAATGCATCCTATCAATTGGAAGTACTTTGGTCTCTGTGTATATTAAAGATTTTAAAAGTGAGTAGGAGCACTCAAAGCAAATGGCAAATGTTCTAACTCAGTAAAGAAGTTGTGTTAATAAATAGTAAAAAATAGGGGCTGCATTTCATTTTATTGGTGAAAAACAGCTTCCTGCTCCTAGCTCAACAAGCACACGTGTAACTAGTTAGCACTGCAGTTCAACTCAGAAACCAAGGGTGGAGTTGACCTCTGCATTTTCACTTGAATTTTGCTTCAGATTTAGGCTTGGAGTTGATTACCATGAAAATAGTCTACCTTTGTTTCCAATTTTCAGCAAATGACTGAGGACATTATGCTGGTTAGCAAGCCTATGTATTGACGGGACATTCTGGTGTGTATGCCCTAGAACGGGTGCAGCTGTCATGTTAAACAGGGAGATGGATTTGTCACCTGCTGTTGTGTACAAGGAATACTATTGATTTCTGAAATAGATTACAAAAGCAACTGTCGAGTGCCCCTCTGTGACCAAAAATGGTAATGGAGCAGAAGCTAAGAAAGGTCTAAATTCGCAACAAATGGGAAATTTTTTATCCAGCCGTTTCTGATTTTTATAGTGGAAAAGTAAATTAGCACATTATCAAGCTTATAAGCAGGCTGTGCAGTCAGACCTTTGTCAGAACTCCTTGAGGACAGGCCAGAAAGGGTGTGGAATTGTTGGGGAAGCTAATTCCATTATTCACAGTGAGCCCTGCTTCCTCTGACTGCTGTTGCTGTAATTGGCATCAAGGGAGGATGACTGGTCCTGCTTGACAGTGACAATGACATTCCCCTTGAGGGCTAATAGTTTAATTTATGAAGAGACAAAAGGAAGGTATAAGTCTTAAGCCATGAGCCAGGACTACAAAGAGAAATTGAACCTTGCCGGGGTCAGCTTCTTAAAAACAGAGCCCAGACCAGGGAATTTGGCCCTATAATTTGTGTGGGCACATGATAAATCTTGGGGGACAGGAGATGGGGGATGGAAATGGTGTCTTTCTAAGGAATGGTGCCTTTGGAAAAAGATAAACAGCAAAGCTAATATTTACGAACCTCAAAGTGTTTGAAAGCTTGGAAATTTTATCACACTTGTTATACCTTCTGACGTATTGAGGCCTTTAAATGAGTATGTGGGTGCTTTTTCCTTAATAGAATGGGGAAAGCCAGGGGTGCAGGTGGTATTATTCTTCTTAAACACCACATGCTAAGCAAGCAATATACACTGAATAAGTCCTAGAAAATATGAATGAGGTAAAGTGCTTGTTCATCTATTCATGGAAAATTGGATTTCTGATATTAAATGAATAGCTTTGTTATTGTTACCAGTCATACCAGTGAAAATTTTCATGTGTATCATGCTTTATAAGACTCTCAAGTGTTTTGCCTAATGTGGCCTCTGAATCCTGAAAATAACCCTGGCAGATGGGACTCCAAATCCCATTAAGTTGGTATGTACCAATGCCATCTTACTAGTTGAAGTGATCAGTTTAAGTTCATAATTGATCATAATGATAGGATTAAGTGTCAAATGGATCATATAAACAAGACCAGTGTCTGCTAATACTAATAGAATTAAAAAGAGAGAATGATCCATCATCAAAAGCGGGATACACAGCAGACTCATAGAATGGCAGATGCCCTAAACAGCACTCTGGCCTCAGAATCAGCCCTTAAGGCTTTTAGATCTAGCTAAAAAGCCCATGAGAGTATCTCAGGCATGGAAAGCCAAGACACTGTGGCAAGAAAAATGACTTAAATGAAAGATCTCCGTGAATGAGATCCCAGTGGAAAGAACGGGCCATCAAAGAAGGAGGTACCTTTCTCTGAAGGGAGGAGAGAACTTCCACTTTTACCATGGCCTTGTCTAAATAATATCAGAGTCGGTGAACTCAGGGGGCTTCCATAGCCTTAGCAGCTCATGACAAGAGCCTAGGGTGATTACTGACGTCATAAATAAGTGTGTCAATTTTTAAATCTACAATGGGAGTCACTGTGTACCTACTCCCCATGTAGGATCCCCTAGTGCCATGTATTGTTGTACGATGTGAATTAATGGTAAAACTACTACTCAAACAGTACTCTATACTTTGTGTGTCTGTGTGTGTATAATCTGTTGAAATCTTAGTATATACTAAGTGGACCTTCTGTCTATAAAGATAATTGAAAATGAATTGTGATGAAGAATGGGATGGGAGAGGGAGTAGGAGATGTGCTGGTTTGCAGGTGGGAGGGTGGTTATGCGGGGAAAAAGCTGCTATAATCCAAAAATTGTACTTTTAAAATTTATGTTTATTAAATGAAATCTTTAAAAAAGAAAAGAGAAAATAAAACAGAGAAAATATCTTGAAAGAAGCTAAAGAAGAAAGATCTCATCTATGGAGGAATATGCAGCCTCTTCTCAGAAATCATAAAAGCAGGAAGAGTAGAATAAAATATTTAAAGTGTTAAAGAGGAAGAAAAGCACCAACAGATAATTCTATATCCTGTGATGTTATCTGTCAATAATAAAGGTGAAATAAACATTCTCAGAAAACAAAACAAAAAATAACCCTGGCAGGTGGATGGGTGTGCTTCTATTTCCATTTCACACTCAGGAAACTATCACAAGGCTCAGAGAAACTATCACTATAATTACTGGTTCAATGGAGGTATTAGTACTATTGATCACTATTGCTAGGTTCCAAAGTTTACAAAATGTTTTTCCCATTCAGTGGAGAAAAAAAGAGTTTAGCAAGGAAGATGGCAGAACCAGATGGCTGTTGCACACTCTGTGTACTGTTATGTGTCTTTCGAATTTCTTAAAAGGATCCCCTGATCCTCATCTTGGGGGAAATGAGCACTGAATAATTTTGGATGATGGTGTATCCATCATCATTTCTGTTATCTGTCATCATCAGGCTACCCCAAATCTCTGACAGGGTTCGTGACAGCAGCGGAAGAGTGGTGAGCCACTTTAAATAAACCCAGGAGTGCAGTGGAGGATGGCCCAAGTACTTGGGCCCTGCACCCCATGGGAGACCAGGATAAGTACCTGGCTCTTGCCATCGGATCAGTGCGGTACGCCGGCCGCGGCAGCCCTTGGAGGATGAACCAATGGCAAAGGAAGACCTTTCTCACTGTCTCTCTCTCTCTCACTGTCCACTGTGCCTGTCAAAAAAAAAAAAAAAGTGTGTTTGCTCTAGTAGCTGACAGGTACACACTCCTCCTATAGGAGGAACAGCCTCCACCTGGGGTGACTTGTGGTCCTGGGTGAATGGCTTTCAACCTGGCTTTCAGTGGTGTGATGTGATGCAATGAAAAGATAGTCTTGCATCTCTCCATTTTTTGTAAACATTTGGGGAGGGGGGTGGTTACCAAAAAATTATGAAGATAGTACAGAGAGTTTCCATATACCCAATACCCAGTTCCCCTATTATTAACACTGTATAGTCACTTTTGTCAAAGCAGACAATAAAATCCCTAGAAAACTTTTAAGTTTATCAGACTTTGAAAAAACAAAAACAGAACCAATTTACCGATTACGTAGCCCTCAGATCCAGAACAGGTTCTGAGAACTGCCACTAGCAATGTGATCAGGCTGCCTTTAGAAATTAGAAGTAAGGTGTGGACCCAACCCACTTGGTAACAGAGCCTCCTGCAGTGAAATGAAGCTTAGCTAGTGTGATTGAAGTTTGTACTGCTTTGGTCTATTGGTCCTAGTGCAGGAGCTTAGTCAAAATCGACAGCCTCATACAAATCTTATTTAAAACGCCCTTCCTCTCCTTCTATTGCTCATGAAGTCGCTGTGTGTAATCTGCTTTCCTGCTTTCAATGA